CCCCCCGCCCCCCCCCCCGGTCTTTGTGCTTTACCCCACCTTTCTATGAACCCATGGTGTGTTACTGTCCGGTGAGGCTGCTTGAGTCTTTTGTGTATCATTACACTACGCGATCAAGGTTTCCTGTTCGACGTCAGGCCGGGTTATCATGTTCTTCCCGAATGATATGCCGGCCGACATGATCGCGCCGATATGCTGCGGACATGATATGATAATGTCCGAATAACTACGCAACCAGCATGTCGACGTCGAAGTCGTCGCCCCACACTTCGTTCGCTTAGCTATCTCTCTTTTTCAGTACCTCCATTACCGCCTTTCCAACCTCTTCAAACAATCCAGGCATACAGGCAATCATACCCCAGTTCCGCTCTCCCTTGATCTTCCGTCCGTTTGCAAAGTCAATTTGTTCACCCTTGAAGTCGCTAATAACTCCGCCTGCTTCTTGGAAAAGGAGATGGCCACCAGCGTGATCCCAAACATAAGTAAAGCGGTCCAGGGTCTTAGGGATGCGCACCATGACATCTGTAGCACCAAGGGTAAGAGCCACGTATTTCATTTGCTGAGACCAAAGAATCGTGCCTGGCCATTGGGCACCAAGTGACGTAGCAACAGCGTTGTGCTCAGGTTGCGACAGCGATGTTTTGCCTAGTGTTGCTTCGACAAAATTTAGCTCGGAAGGCTTCTTTTGAGGTAGAGTGGTCAAATCTACGTGCCGGGGTTCTCCTAGTCCCGCAGAAGCAGAAGCGTTCATAGAGCGGATAAAGGTGCCTTGTCCTTTGACGGCAGATAGTACTACGCCAAAGCCATCCGTGTCGACACGATCTTCGTGGATTGAAGTTTGGCCGAGAGTTTCTTGAATAGGAAATGCGAGGTTGGGGCAAGCAATCACTCCAACTTGTTGCACGCCATCAACGAGCAGGCAAAGGCAAACGGCGTACTGTTGGCCTTGCATGAACGTCGCTGTGCCATCCACGGGATCCATGACCCATACTCGGCCTCTTCTGGTGATTTCTCCTTTACCTCCCCGATCAATAAGCTCAAACATCTCTTCTTTACTCTTCGGAGAAGCCAGCTCCTCAACCTGTACCGAGTTTCCGTCTCCTTTACCACTCTCGGTGCCGCCTACATGAAACTCGCTCCTCGCCTGTTGCACAAGCTGCCAAACGCGGTCAGCCAGTGCCTCGTTCTGACGCAATGCATCAGCGCTCTCCTCGCCCAAAAACGCATCTGTAGGGTAGGCAGCATGCAAAGCGGAGATTAGGAGAGCTTGAGCGGCGAAATCCGCGATTGTAACGGGACTGTCGTCTGCTTTGGTCTCCGCAGACACGTTGTTGGAGAGACTGCGGAGAACGGATTTGGTGAGCAGAGACGCCCGGTGTACGGCGCGCAAGGCGAGGCGAAGTTCGGCGGAGTAGGCCATGGCAGATACCGTGTGATTTTAGGTTACGATTGCGTGATGTACGGCGTATTGTCGCTCTCTGTTGATGGTTAATGCAGAGTATTAGTTTAGATGAGGTGATTAAGTATTTGGCAAGCTACTAGCAAGTGCATAGTAAGCGAGACTAGAGGAGCGCTCAACGCGCGTTGTGTGCGCAGTACTATCGCTGCAAAATATGAAGCTCGACGATGTCAACAACACCACAATGTCACTGAGATGCCTTGAGTCTTCCACAGGGGCGCAGATTACGCAAGAGTCATTCGTGGCTGATTGTGAACGAGATACATGACGGCGTTCGAGTCATGCGACTAGTTCGGTTCCGCTTGATTTGAGATACTCGGAGATCTGACGGTCCGACCCAAAACTTGGTGAGGCGACTGAAGCTCGCTTTTCCCTGTTTATACCTACGGGAATTGTACCCTAGTGGCATTTACTGTGTTCATGGCTACCGTGCTAACAAGATAGGAGATAGTGCATACCTCTGAAGCTAGTTTACAACTTAGAAAGAACGAGCTTCTTGGTAAGCGCAAGTGTCGAGTATCACCAGACACATGGAAAGTTTGGTAGCTTTGACGGCGCCTCTCCGACTCCTCCCGCAGAGCTTCTCCCGCGAAGGGAGGCCCTTACAGTACCGGCGACGGGAAATCAACGGGAAACACAGTTATTGGGAAAGCCCACTCGCAGTCCACCCGCCAGCAAAAACGGGCCGATGTCTCGGGAGAGTGCCAAACTCGGGAGATAACCACCAGGTTCAAGCGAGTAAAGAGGCGAGGCTGCTCTTTGTTGTCTCTTGAGACGGTTGGCGCTCCGTGCCGCGTTCACGATAGATTGCTGGCGCCTGTTTTCGAGTTATACAGCATGTATTCGTCTGCTACTTGGGACACGTTGCCTGCTTGAAGGTGCAGTTCGCACTCTGCAAGGTTCCTCGAGTGACCTGGGGCTCTACATCCTGAAGCCCCCCATAGTGGCGCAGATGTTGGTAATGATGAGGGACGTGAGACGCACGAATATTGAACAGCCCGCGTCCTGCATCATCTTGCAGTGGAGCGCGTAAGCGATTCGCTGCATGGCCTTGAGGGAATCGAGTGGTGCCATACTTTAGCATATATGAAGTCTGGATGCCTTCGATGCATTACGTTGTGTTATATCGATGATCAGAGTTGCTGTTACATAGAGGCTGCATGATCGATGCACATTTGTTGAGGATTGTTTGTACCGATGTATTGTTTATCGGGGCTGACAGCCGTTTCGAAAGCATTGGAGATACAGCGCATGGCCCGCTCCCTGGCAATGTCGCCATCTTTCGCAATTAGAAAGTGTCCGCATCTTTTGTGGGGAAGATAATCTTTCACGGGCCACATCTGTTTTTGGGTATCGCATTGGTCGCGCTGCTGTGATTGCACCCGTGATTGCATTATCATGAATCGCGCGACATGGTAAAGGAGGCGGACTATAGAAGTTGAATATCAAGGGACCTCGTTAACCGCGAGGATCTCGCGATAAGACCAAACCGTTCCTGCAGATAGCCTGTACGCATCAGATGGTTCGCTTGGTGGCTTGTTTAGGGCCATGTCGTACAGGAACCTTGGAAAAAGCACCGTGGGGGCTGTCTCTCTGTCAGGTCATGCAGGCTGTTCGTGTTGGAGCACGCCGACCAAGTGACTTGCAGCTGGGGGCGGCTCGATCATTCGTCCGTCTGGACATGGCCTCCATGAAGCCTTGAGCCACTTGCAGGACGTATGCTCTAGCAGGAACGCAGTCACCTGAACCGAGCGTCTTATCTCGCTTGCTGGGAGGCAGAGTACTCGAACTGGAGGAAAATGCTCCTCTGCACAGATTGCGCAAGCCATGAACAGTTAGATGGACAAGCGAACATGCGTTCTTACCACCGTTCGATACTTGTTTCGCCCTCGCCGACCCCCGATGGGGGCAGCAAGCCATGACCAAGAGTCCAGGTCGGTCTGCTCCTGACTGTTTGGGAAAAAGAGGCTTGAGGCGCTCAGCAAGAAGCGAAGCACTGAGTTCCTCCAGGCGCGTGTCTAGACACCGGAAAACGCATAGAGCCGCGCGGAAATAGAAGAAGAAAAAATGTGTTGAGGAATTGTGAAAAGGTTCAGGAGGCGGCAGTTCAGAGCATGGTGTGTCCTGCATCCTGTGTTGAAGATCGTCGCTGCAGCGCAGAGCCGGAATCCCGCAAGTGGAAGACAGCGCGTTGGATGCGAAAGATAACGTCTTGCAGAGTTGCCATCTGTGATCAAGTATGTGTCTCTAGACGTTATCGACAGAATTTAAACCAGGAGAGCTGGACAGAGTGGATTGCGTGATCGAGAGTGGTGTGCTTGCATTACAGACACTCGCTACGAGGCTCAATATCATCGCTCAGCATTCAGTGTGTGCAGATAGTCGGCTTACGGAAGACGGCTGGCGTAAGAGTATGGAATTGACTTAGCTGCAGGGCTGAGAGTGAGACAGAATGCTAGCGCGTGCAAAATGATGCCTCTGCAGAGCAGTCCGTTATCACCGAAGATAGCGAAAACCGGGCCTAACGCTGGGGCAAGCGGTTCGTTCGGTTATTGAAAGGTGGAACTGGACGGATAGCAGCATGGGATTGGAGAGAGAGGAGACGAGCAGGGTTGCGTGGGAGGGTGCTCATGACTGCTGAAACCGATAACTGCTATTCCGCTTCTTTGCGCCATCAAACTGGAATAGGAAGCCTTGTACCTAGATTTGCACGTCAGTCATCTGCCCGTCCGGCGCAGGGCCGCGCAGATGACTAGCGAGGGAATTCGTCATGGAGGGACGTTGTCGCGTCGCGCTGCTATCACGCAACTCTCGGACGGTGGTGTCACCAGATAGAGCGCCCATCACTACGCAAATGGGCTACGACTGCCCCCCGCGGCCGAAAATTCTACGCTCTGCTGGCTGCAGCATCGACAAACGTGCCGCGAAGTCGTTCGCTGCAAGAGGGTGAAAATCTCTCTGGACGAGCGAATGGCGAGGGCAGAGGGCGAGGGCATGCTGGCAGCACAGCACCCCGGTGGCCAAAACGCAGCCTGCTGGGTAGGGTAGGCGCATGGAGCGAATGGACAGGCGCCCGCTCTGCACCTGTTCGCCGGAACGCACAGTGGACGAGCTAGAGCCGGATTAGTGTGGTGGTGGTGAGGGGTGCGGGCTTACAGCGCTTGTTCGAAATTCAATTCCCTTGGCTGCATCTCAGTGCATGGTCAGCCATGCGGAGACTACGGCGTGGACCCTGCCCCCCATCCCTGTCAGCCGTAGTGCCTGAGCGCGACTTAAGTATACTATGTGTGCCCCATCATCCTCCCGTAGCTCCACACGGTCCCTCCGCTCACGAACTCATAACTACCTCATGACTCCTACCTGAGAGATCTTCATAAGACCCCCTTCGTCCCTCTTCAGTCCAACTACCACCCACCAACACTACTACCCCTCCGATATCATCTTGTCGGCGGCTATATACACCATCACCATCACCACCACCACCACCACCTCCTCTACCACTACTGCTCTACACCACCACATTACCTTCACAATGGCTTCCCAAATGGAGTGCTTCAACGACTTTTGCCTGTCCTGCGATCGTCAAATTGCCGAGAACGGTGTCTACTGCTCGCAATCGTGTCGGTTAGCCGACCTTGAGAAGGCTGGCAGCACAGCACAAGCGCCCTCGCAACTGTCATCATCCGCTTCGTCGTCGTCATCATCCAACAGCGGCTTCTACCTCGCCCCTGCAATCAACTTCTCGGCATACAAAGGAGCCTCGAGTTCACAAGTACCACCCTCGAGCCCGTACCACTACTACCCAACCGCAAATGGCAGTTACTTCGCACCACCAACCGCAACAAGGCAATCCCCACAACGCAGCCTCACGCCCTCGTCATCACGCTCGTCCCTAGCTTCGCAGTCTTCCCAGACCCAGTCGGGCATCTCGCAGCAAGCAGCAACCCAACTCAACAGCTACATGCGATCCTTTGACCAAACACGGGACGTAAAGAGGCGGTACACACAGTACTAGCCTTGCTCTCACATGTGTTGCTTTTGGAGTTTGGTTTAACGACAATCACGACAACCGACCAAGATGCTCTGCCTCCGTCTCGGTTTCTCATTGTTCTCTAGTATTTTGCATCCGTCTCTGGCCTTGGACAGCGGAGACTGGCGTGGGTCCACGGAGTACACCTGCATATCGATCACCGCTGCTCTGCGTTCTAGTTTTGTACCATTTCCTTTGTTGCCATACGTGGACGCGGTGTACGATTAAAAGTATTTATATATCCCCTTGGTGCATGTAGCATCTTTGTTTCGAACTGCCCCGGCGAGGGTTGGTGACTGGGGGTTGTCCAGCACATGCGTTTGCATCACGACCACGGCGGTCAGGACGGTTGGGTATTCCTCTCACTCGGGCGACGTTGGACGCGGCGCCTGCTTTCCGCCCTAGCTATAGTTTAGTAGTAGCTGTCTCAAATGGACACAACGGTCATGAGCATAGACTCATGGCGACAAGACACGTCAAACATTTTCATCTGCTCCACTTGTCTCGGTGATACTCAGATGACAGCCTCGCGCAACCGCCTGTCCAACCCGGCCATGTCTCACCACGGCTGCAGATCACGCCAACCCCTCACCGTCACGTGACGGGGCACCCTTTGGTACAGTGTTTGGCTTAGAGATAAGCACAAGCCCTCACAATGAGCACAGATGAGACACGCCCAGGCCCAATGCGCCGTCTCGTTATATTCCCGTGGCGCTTTAGAGTTTGCATGCTGCGCAGTGCGTGGTCAGAGTGGTAAGACGAGGCACAGCTGGTCTCTCCACCGGTATTCCTTCTGCCTGTGCTACATTCGCCAGGAAGAATTTTTCGCGCAATCAGGCATGATCCAGAAGCCAGCCACGCCCAACAGCGTTCGCAGCAAGTCATGTTCCGGTGGCGATAAGCAGACACACTTGGACGTTGTTGAGGGGTT